CCTCCTGCTAAATTCAGGTAAGGACTTTAGTGCAGTCAGAAAGCAATTCTGTGCTGCTGAATTTTGTATACCTTGATAATAATCTGCTGACTACACCAGAGAACATGAATGTAAGGGTTACATTATAAATTGTACAGACTGACCGTGATAGGGATATAATTCCATTTGATCCACGATGTTCAGCACAGAGAGTGACATATGACGACTTAAAAGGGTCCATTGGATCACTCCAATGTTCATATATTGATTATTTGTTCATTTCCATAGCAATGAGAGCAACCAGATCCAGGCTGAAGTGCTGTTTAACTTCGTTATCAATGACATCAAGAACCCCAGTGCTTTACTGAAGGAGATCCTGAACATTACAGGACCTGCCAAGGGCATCACAGCCTCACTGAGCATCAATGGTAAGATTCAGCACCATGACTTCTACAGTAAATCACTGCAGCAGTATTGATATTCCACAATTTTCTTCTCCAGGAATACACAGATATTGTGGATTATCTCACTATTAGTGAAATAACATTTACGATCCTACTAAAACATTTGTGATTTCTACTGAATATGATGTATATTGATGCACTTTAATGTAATTGTGATTACATACATCCACCCAGTTTTATTATTTTTCTTCTGAAACATCTGGTTTCTTCTTTTTTACTGTATATTTGATGATATCAGCAAATAAGAAAAATACCTGACTGTGCGATTGCTCAGATGCTGGCACTAACTCCTCTTCAGAATATGCTGTTCAGGCGTCTCTGTTATTGTGCTTGTGAATTACAACAACGGAAGGTTTTGGCTTGTTGCCTTATTTGCAATGAATCTGAAAGATGCCCAATATCTGAATGATGTCATTACTCTTCTCTGTTCAAATGCAGGTCGGCCAGCTGCAACGGCAGCTCCCACTACAATGGCGCCATCTGCAGCTCCACTTATAAGGCAAGAGGAAGTGTTTTCTTATCTTATGCTTTTTATGAGCCATTCAGGCTACTTTACAGTCTCGGAGTCCTCGGAGCTACAGCCAGTGTTCATTTCCTCGACAGAATGGCTTGATGTCCCAGTGAGAGCTCACAAAAATAATCCCCAGTGATGTTGGCAAAGACTATATGGCTTTGCATTTTTGTTTGAGTGACTCAAAATGGGACTAGACTAAATTAAATGCTCATGACTGAGAAGACATTGCAGTTGACTTGATGACTCTTCGTCGAAAATTTCCTCGTCTTGTATGGAAATATTTTAGTGAAAATGGCCGGATGTGCAAAGATTCTTGAAATCATCATTTGTATTGATCGGTATCAGAGAAACATCCATTTTAAAGTAAGAATGCATAATCTAAGAAAGATAGCAGTTTTCATACGCTTCTTGGCTTTGATCTTTGTCTTCACAGAAAGGGGAAGGCTCTTCTGTTCATCAGATTAGAGTTCAACACCACCAAAGCTGCTCCTGCAGAGAATACCATTCTGGAAATGGCAAACAAGTTATTTTTGAGCCGTTTTACTGCAGCCAAAGCCTACCAAGCGTCAGTCAACAATGTGTCCTATGAAAGTAAGTTCTTTCATGTAACTATCAGGCTTTAGGTAGATGTTTTTATGCAATGTGATGTATAAAGGCAACAGGGTTGACCTACACCATCAAACAGCTACTTTTCTCTTCTGGCACTAACAATTGGACACTGGTTTTACAGTACGTCCCTTTGAAAGGACTGAACACAAGCATGTTCGTTAACACAGTAAGACAGTACCAGTCAGCAACGTCTCAGCATGAGGTTTCTCGGTAACAAACCCTTTCTGTAGATGTTTCTTGCCTCCTTTTGCAAAACAGTGGAATAGTAGCACAGTCAGGGGCTCGAATTGAGAGTCTCCTCGCAACAAGACCTTCTCTCTTCCCTGTGGATACTGTATTCTATCCGTTTACATACAACATTGTGTTTTCTAACATCAAGTGCAAATCTCCTCTACCCGTTTAGATGCATCTGATCTGTGTTTGTGAGAAAACGTCTCCTGTAATACGCGTCTTTAATACCTGTTCCCTGACAGTTCATGACTACTCTCTGTGATGAATTTCCTTTACAACGTACAATGAACGTTCTTTGTGTGGCTTTGAGTTAAATTCTTGTTCCCTCTTTTCTCCCTTTCAGGAATCAGTGATTTTGCTTTCGCCATCATTTTGAGCTTCAATATGACAAATATACCAGTTACAGAAAGCTTTCAATTCACAAATGAAACATACACCGAAATTGACAATGCTGTCAATGACTTGGTGAGTCTTTTATAAATGAACATAAACATTTCATGAGAGTCGAACATTTACATCTCAAAGTAGGGTATATTAAAGTGTACTGAGTTACAATTACTGTACATTACATAGTAAAGAAAAGTATAATGCTTCCATTTTTAAATGCTATTTACCCACCGAATAGGTCATTTTTGCATATATTGTCACTTATTTTACAATTATATAGAAACTTTGAATGATTAAATATTTTTTCTATGACACAATCAGTCTGAGATGAATGAATGAGGTTTAATCAACTGATATATATCTCCTCTGTTTTCATGCTAATCGAAAATTAAATTCAGCCCCGATGTGATCATGATTTAATTCTATTTTCTAACCTGTTTTGTTTGCAGCTGAGCCGGATCCTAGGAATACCAAACTCCAACCTGTTCAAATTCCCTCCTACTACTTTCACGTGGGTATTTTTGTGTCTCTTCCATGCCTTCTGTATCGGCTATTTCATTTCAGGCTGATATGAAGCTTCAGGGGCCCCCTCTGTGTGCGCAGTTCTAAGGATATGCACTGTCAGAAAATAGCAGATTCGTCCGTTTATCTTTCTCGAAATAAGGTTGAGGCAGGATGCACCCAGCACAGGACACCAGTCCTTGGCTTCTGTCTGAGCTCTGTCTTTAATTTCATGCCAATATGAAGGTCCAGTCTTGCAGACATCTGTCAGGAGGTTCCCCAGTGTCAACACTGTACGCACAAACATATTTCCATTGCTCCCTCTGTGTGCACAGTTCTAAGGACTTAGTGCAGTAAAAAATGGCAGATTCAATGCACAAAGACTTTCATTGTGGTCACAGACTGTTAACGGTGACAGACATCTCCCTTTGTTCTTCTGTTCCCACAGCAACGTGAGCAATGTCATCCATGCAAGTGTGGTGTACAGGTTCAAAGACGGCGACATCCAAGTCCCCAGTGACTTCCTGAATGGAATTCTGAACACCTACAGTATGTCCATCTCTTACTGCTTCTTTGTCAGAAGGCAGCCAGACGCTGTCACAGTGAAGTTTACAGGACTGGGAGATCCTTTTCTGCTTTGAGGAATAATGATTTGCTACATTTTAATTCCGCTCGCATTTGTGGACCTCATTAAAAACACGGCAGGCTCCGAAAGATGTCTTTTCTACCAGAAATGGCACTTTTAATTACATGCAACCTTTATTACAAATTCTGGTTACCGATGTCATAAAGGCACGCGCTAGGAGATCGGACATGCTGGAAAATGTCTGTTTCTTTAACTTTCTTCTTTCTTCCCTGTGCGCCCATTCAGATCCGACATCCCCAGCTCCCACTTCGGTGACCCCCACTGCCCCTCCCCTTACAAGGCAAGTCTGTGATGTCATTCTTAATCTCACCTCTCATTGGTCAGACTTTCTTGATCGTCCAGCGATTATGCAGTTGCACCCAAGCAAGTGCGACATATTGAAGTGTACAGTTCCTGTGGCTTTATATTGGTGTGGGGGGGGGAGATTTTTTTTATTGTGTGATGTGAAAACTCATTAAACTGAGCGGCCGGCACGAAGGAAGGCAGCTCAGCTGATGAGCGATGAAGTGACACAACCTTGTGCAGACAGAGAGGCTGACAGGGCACCACATATAAGAGCAGGGACAAGCCAGGCACGATTTTGGCTCCGTGTCCTGAAAAAGAAGGATCCCTGGAAAGATTACGCAACACGTGAAACCTGTCTACACAGGCTCTGCATCCTGTATCAGAGAGCTCATTACTCTGGTTTGCTCACCTGTTTCTTTGTATCTGCAGAATGGGGAGGGCTCTTCTGTTCATCAGACTGGAGTTCAACACCACCAAGCCAGCTCCTGCAGAGGACGCGATCCTGAAACTAGCAAACGAATTATTTTTGCAGCGTTTCAAGGCACAGAGAGCCTACCAAGTGGCAGTCAGCAACGTCTCTTACGAGAGTAAGTTTATTCATGTCATGAGTGGACACCAGATAGATGCTTCTATGCAACGTGATGTACAGACACCAGAGAGCTGACCTACAACATCATAACTGCTGCAAATAATCACTTACTATTGGCAACTAGACTTAAATGTCTATCTGAAGGACTCAACACAAAGAGTTTCAGCAACTAACTAACACTAACACTAGCAACACTAACAATTGGACACTGATTTTACGTCCCTTTGAAAGGACTGAAAACAAGCATGTTCGTTAACACAGTGAGACAGTACCAGTCAGCAACGTCTCAGCATGAGGTGAAGGTTTCTCGGTAACAAACCCTTTCTGTAGATGTTTCTTGCCTCCTTTAGCAAAACGGGAGGATAGTAGCAGAGTCAGGGGCTCGAATTGAGAGTCTCCTGGTAACAAGACCTTCTCTCTTCCCTGAGGATACTGTATTATATCTGTTTACATACAACATTGTGTTTTCTAACATCAAGTGCACAAGACAAAACCTCTACCCGTTTAGATGCATCTTCTCTGTGTGAGAAAACATGTCTCCTGCAATACGCATCTTTAATACCTGTTCCCTGACAGTTCATGACTACTGTGTGTGATGAGTCTCCTTTACAACTTTCAATGAACGTTCTTTGTGTGGCTTTGAGTTAAATTCTTGTTCCCTCTTTTCTCCCTTTCAGGAATCAGTGATTATGCTTTCGCCATCATTCTGAGCTTCAATATGACAAATATACCAGTTACAGAAAGCTTTCAATTCACAAATGAAACATACACCGAAATTGACAATTCTGTCAATAACTTGGTGAGTCTCTTACACAGACACAAGCACTTCAGGAAAGCACATGATTTTCAGCTCAAAATAGACTTTTGATATTTTTAATGCTGGTTGGGTTATGATTACATTATAATATAAAGCCATTTATTTTAATATTGTAAGTTATACATTATATACTGTACACACAATATTCAGCAATTTTCATTTATTTCTGAAACAGTAGCAATACGTAATATAATAATAAAGTAATAATAATAAAGCAGTAAGTGACAAGGTGTAATAAACAAATACATACTTCCCCCTGTTATTCACACCTGTCTGAAATTAAATTCAGTGAATGACTAAATATTTTTTTCTATGACACAATCCATCTAATAGAATGTATGAGGTTTAATCAACTGATATATACCTCCTCTGTGCTAATCCAAAATTTAATTCAGACCCCATGTGATCATGGCTTAATTCCATTTTCTAACCTGTTTTGTTTGCAGCTGAGCAAGATCCTAGGAACACCAAACTCCAGCCTGTTCACATTCCCTCCAGTTACTTTCAAGTGAGTATTTTTGTGTCTCTTCCACGCCTTCTCTATCGGCTATTTCATTTCATGCCCCTATGAAATGCTAGTCTTGCACACAGCTGCCTGGAGATTCCCCAGCGTCAACTCTTTACACAGAAACATTCTTCAGTTGCTCCTTCTGTGTGCGCAGTTCCAAGGAGATGTGCTGTTAGACAATAGCTGATTTATCCATTCATCATTTTCTAACTGTTTGGCCTTGACAAGCAACGGGCACACCCTGGACAGGACACCAGTTCATCACTGGGCCCTCAGACGCAAACACACATGCACACTCACACTCACAACAGGACCAATATTCCCAGAAGCCAGTTAACCTATCAGCATGTCTTTGGACTGTGGGAAGAAACCCACGGAAATGCAGGGAGAACATACAAACTCCACACAGACGGCAGCCCCAGGAACCCAACCCAGTACTGCGAGGCAGCGATGCTCCCCACTGTACTACAGTGCCGCACCAAAGCAGATTCAATCCAAAAGAATGAACTGATCGCGGTCCCAGGCTGTAACAGTGACAGACCTCTGCTCCTGTCCTTCTGTCCCCACAGCAACGTGAGCAATGTCATCCATGCCAGTGTGGTGTACAGGTTCGAAGACGGCGATATTCAAGTACCCAGTGACTTCCTGACTGCAGTTCTCAACGTCAGCAGTATGTCCAGTTATGATTTCTTGATTTGGTCGCACGGACTTTTAGGGGCTAGAACATTTCACGAATGGATAATAAGCCAACTGTTATTTATATTTATAGAAATATATATTTATATAGTAATAGAGATAGAACAAGTTACTTTCTACATATCATCCCATGTTAAAAGCTACAAGTAT